GGAATTTACCCTTTTTTTTTTTTTTTTGAAATAGCCTTTTTGCACAGCCAGCTTTGTACTCTTCTAGGTTCAAAAAACTGTCGTCCATAAAATGTGTTGCACAAATTCGAATATCTGGGTTGTGCTGTTCTGTTGTAACTAAATCTTAACCAATGATTCCTAATTGCATCTACTTCCGGAAGGCCAAATAAAGTGCTTTTGCTTTCGTACTGAATCACACAGCGTCTCCCTGACATGGCTGCATCAACACTACTGCTGTTCCTGAAACCACGCCTTCTTTCTTTGCGTGCACATTTGGGCGGTGTTATGCAAATCTTCCCACATAGTGATGTAAATATGTGGGGGCGTGTTAAAACGAGCCGTTTTAGGTAGGTGTGGCTGACTCTGAACTTTTGGATTTGAGACTTTAGTCTTTGCAACTTTACAGATCTTCTTTATGCACCAAGAGCTTGTAACACTCCAAAGAGAAAGGAAAAATTTAAATCGCATCATATGACCCCTTTAAGAAGACACTTTTAACCAAAACAATCTCTGGTAAAACATGATACTTATTTACTTGATATGACTTAATATTTTTCTACTAATTTAATAAAGGGTATTTTATGTTACCACCTATGTTTTGGGGGGATGGGTTTATCCTGCTCATCCAGGAAGTTTCCACCAGCTGCCAGAGCCCAGCGGTAATGTTGTGCTAACAAGGAACGGCGTGCTGTAGTCGGTGTGTCCAAAGGCGCCCCATCAGCATTTTTTAGGGGTGAGAATTCCTCCTCTCTCAACACCTCAAAGGCGACAAATTTCCTGCAAAAAAACAGATGATGGTGAGGAAGATGGCGATACCCCAATTAGCCAACGGTAGCTGTAAAACATACTTTGAGAACTGAAAGACGTCAAAGACAAATTTCTCCATTTTGATGCCATTGGGCTTGGTTGGTTTCACCAGGTTCCCTTCTCCATCCACAAATGGCACTTTCTTGATTGCCACATGCTGCTTCAGCTGACTCTCAAACTTTCTGCAGGGAAAATGCATTGAAATAGGAATTGGTTTGTACAATGGGCTTTGTTTACAGATTAGCATGAGTCCATATGTTGCTAATTCTTTAACAAATGCATTCATAAATCCTCTCCTACTGCCTCATGGGCTAGTAAAGTGTCCACTGAGTGTGCACTTGATGCAGGTACTTTTTGTTTCGTTTTTTGAATACTATGAATTTGGACATACTACTCTTTCGAAATACTGTCTTCTGCATACTATATAGTAGAGAAGTATTCATTTGGGATGCAGTGTGCAAGTCTTGATTAGGGGTCCTACTGGGCTCCTATTCCTTGTTAATATAATGCCATCTTCACCAAAATGTTATTAGTTTGTTTATTGTTTTATTAGTTCTATTATAGTACAACAGAGCATGATTATAATATATTGTAGCAAAAAATGCCCTTTATGGACAATGAAAAGTTGACTTAAGAAACACATAAGAAAGTGGGATTGTATATTATAACAATATGTCAACCACATACTCAGCCACGTCCTTTAAGAAGTCTCGGGTAAAGAAGTGGTTGCAGATGTTCCCAGCACTGAACAGAAGCTCTCCTCCTGGGCCTCGTATCTCTGCGGTCTCTGGTTGGATCTCACTGTACTCAATCACCTGATACAGGCCGTCCACACGACACACCACTCCAACAGGCTCTGCAGGATACGCCTTATCCACCACCTGAGCAGAATTTAGGTAAACACAGCTAATTAACGCAATAAATAATAATAAATTAATAATGGTAAACAATGATGGATGGGATCTGATTCAGGCCTAAAGACAGGATATTTTTTACCTTGGCACCACAGTCTGCTCCTTTGATTACACAAAAGCCAATAAAGACTGGGTCTGCCATCTTCACCAAGATGTTGTCCACACAGTACACGTGAAGATACTCCACACCCCTTCTCTCCATGTCCTCTAAAATCTTGTTGTCCACTAAAGCACGGTAGAGGCCGCCATTTCCATCTGAAGTGAACATAGAAATGAGATGCAAACATTAACTGGTTTTAGTGAATGAAGTAAAAAAAATACATTCATAATTATCAGTCTGTTGTCATATAGCTGATGAAAATATAAATAAAAAAAATCTAATTTATTTTAATAATTTATGAACTACCTCTTACAAATAGCTAATAAAAGCAAAGCGAAATTAGTTTTCCTTCTAAAGCCAAACAAATTCTCTCTGACCTGGTGCCATGGCTATTTTGTTCTTCTTCTCCAGGATGATCTTTCCATCAAAGCCTACAGCTGGTATCATTCTCTGCTCAAACATGACTACGTTGGATGGACAAAGACCAAAATATTCATTGTCTTTGAAGAACTTCTCTGTGGGTCCCAGAGTGAACTCACTAGTCATTATGTACCTGTTCAAATATCATCAAAAGTGAATTCAATACATGTTCTTCTGTCATTTGGGGGTTATTTATGAATTAATTCATGAACACTTCTTCAACTACAAGCACTTTTATGTCCCAGACCCAGACTTTCAAACTGGAAACAAATACGAAAATGATTAATAGAAACATGAATTATTACATTTTTGAACTACGACCTAAAAATGATATATATAAAATTCTAGTTCCACCACAGAATGCTACACAGCGTCTTTTGAAATGTGGTGGAAATTACATTTGCTGGTCTATAAAAATAATAATAAAAAAAAAAACAGGACCAAAAGTGTTTCTAGTTCTAGTTCTCAGAAAGACCCTCATTTGAATTGCAAATAAAGAGCCATACCATGGTATTGTGCACCTACTACCATGCTTCACATTGGCCAGCTTTTGCACCTTCTGGATACACTCAGCTTGGACCTGGTACAGGGTTTTCCCACTTGGAAGCCCAACATTGTACATGCCCTTGGGATATGGCACTCCAAGCCGAGTCCCCTGACCACCGGCTAACAGCAAAACAGCCACTCTGTCCTGTGAAATCTGCAGTAACCCTGAAGACAAAAGGTTGTCTTTTATGTACTCTTCAATATATGCAATGTTACGTTTAACCACATTGTAAAAATTGCTATTTTTGTTGTATATTATTTTGAACCTTGGAGCTTTACCTTCATCACCCCATATCTGAAGCGTTTCTTTTTCACTTTTACGCACACTTCCGATGAACTCTGGAGGAACGGGCTTCATCCGCGCGTCTAGCCGACCATCAGCACTCGAGTGTCGGCTTGCAGCCTCAGCAACTGCAACTGCTCGGCAGTGCTCGAGTAACTCTTCGGGCTGGAGTTTAGATATCTCCTCCAGAAGCGTATTGCTTTCTTCCGCAGAAAGTTCAGCCCAAAATTGTAAAACATGGCCCTGTCCAGCAGTTTCTAACCTCGCTTTAGCTTCCTCGAATGATAACATCTTTCCCTACTAAAACATCAATGATCTGACAACAAACCTTGAGTCGAGTCGACTCCTCTCTTTTGAGGAGTCCGGATCCTGTTTTCACTGCTTGCAACTCGTGATCAGTGTGTGGTTTGTACAATGAACATATCACTGGAGTTGCATATAATTGGCAAAATAACAGAAAACTACTGTCAAGGCTTATTTAGTTTGCGGGAGTCATTTGGGAACTCCCCTTAGGCACATATGGCGGACTGTGTCTCAAAGCCTTAAATGTCTAGCTAGACAGTATTTTTGCTCCTCACTACCAGCTCGAATCAGTCAGTCAGCCGCGAGCTGACTCGGAACGTCCCAAATGCTGTCTAGGTAGGCAGCTCAGCAGGTTTCCAAACACAGCCAGTATTTACTCATCTGCGGATGAATGACTTCCTCAGAAAGCTAACCGCCGTCATGTGATTAGTCTGCTGAGTCTTCACATCAGGGATCAATTCAGTGCAAAGCTTAATCATTTTTGACGCATTAAATATTACTGATGCCGCATTATAGTAATTAGGGGTAAACTAACAGTGAATTGATGATCTTTAAATTGGAGAGTTTATTCAAGTATGCCTACAAACGACCAATTACTTCAGAAAGTATGAATGTTGAAAGTATGAAAATGAAAGTATGAATGAAAGAATGTTGCAAGTAAAATTATTTTTAAAATCCCATAAAAAACATGTAACTGTTTAAATTCTGCTGAAAGCTTATGCATTTAATTGTGTGATTATAAATTAAGTAAATTTATCCAAATTCATCCATCTGTTTAATAAACAATTATTACAAAATAAACTTTTTTTTAAATACACATTGTGTGCATATATGGATTTTTTTTAGTCATAAATACCAATTATTTGAACATGTAACCAATAATTTCTTTAAAATACACACTTTCTTAAAAGGGAAAACAAAGAAATTAGTTGACACGTTTTTAAACATGCTTTTTAAGACACTTAAGATTTTGGTAACAGGACTGAGAAAATGCATCTATCTACCAATTAGAAAAAAAAATCTGAATCAAATAAAAGTTATGCGTAATTGACCAATACATATTATGAATGGTTAAATATTTGTGACCTGGGATAGATAAAAAAAATAAAAAAACATACTACACACCCAACTTCAATGAACATAATGAAGAATAACTTTATTTAACAGTTATTTTACAAACATAAATATTTGCGCTCTACATTCAGTTTCTGCATTCTAGAGGACGTAGATTTTTATTTCCATTTTTGTCCCATGAACATTGATTTGCACATCTCAACTAAACCTTCACAGATGTGTCATCACATCTAGATATGTTTTGCAGCACAAATATTTGGATATTTTATTAGTGTGTATGTTTACGATACTCGGGGGACCCCAGCAACAGCACATATTGATATACATGTGGCAAAACGTGGTGCATGAACAGTAAGGCAATAGATTACAGGCAGTCTCAAAGGGCGGCATTCCTCGATTGTGTTGAACGCCACAAACACACACAATCTAAAGCCTTTAGTCTCAGGACAACCACTCTAATGGGTCGAGCTCACAAGTCCAGAGGAGTCCAAAGATTTCTCCTGTGAGAAACAGTGAAAAAAAAAGGTGCAAAATGCAAAAAAACAAAAACAAGCTGCATCCATTACGAGGCAGGCAATACAGCTTTTAAAGCCCTGTAAAGACTCCACAGTGCAATTTGTGCATATTCAAACAAGACACACATACATGCGTTACAAAGACTGAATTGATTCAAAGGGAATCGGGCCACAGCTGAGCTTAGTTTAACCACCATTGGGACACAGAAGGGTATTTGCTGTTTTTCACTCATCCAAGTCATTTTCATGAGGCTTGAGAAAGACCAACTGATCCTAGGCCTGCACAAACTCTCCATACAAGTTACAAACATGCAGATATCTGTTCCAGATCTCAATGGAGAAGAGTTTCAGAAGTCTCATCTGCACAAGAGTATCTGAGACCACTGAATTGTCCCTGAGAATCAAATCATTAGAAATATATTTCAGTCAGACATTAACGCCCTGTATAATAGTCCAAAAGCAGCTTTTTTTATTCATAAATAAGGCAACTATATGAACACTACGGTCTTGTAGAATTACAAAGGGCAACAACCCATTGAACTGGTGGGTTTTAGGACTTCCCATGCAATAGCTGTAAGGGCAACTTATTTTCTCCTTGTCCGTCAAAATGCACATGAGGGTGCCAATCCTGAAATATGTCATATGCAAATATACAAGATACTTGCCTACTGCTGCAAAGTAGAGTCAAATACATTTTTTTCAAAAGTGATCCTAACCTATATTGTACCTTTTTAGTGTTTCCTTTACATAAACCCCCCAACCTGATACAAACATTAAACATAAATGCTGAAAAATAATATTTGCTTAAATCACAACCACTACGATTACTGAACACTATCATTCCATTGTAAATCCTCCTAAAAATTCAAGTCTGGTTTATTTTTATTAAAATAAAGTGCTTAAATATGTCCCTCAACTAGAGTTTAAATCAGAGTGTTATAGTTATGTTTGAAATCCTTGCAAACTAATACTGGTGAGAAACTGTATTTACACTGCAGATAATTGATCAATTTATGAACAAGAATTGTTTGAATGTAAAAACAAATCAATCTGTAGCACTGCTTTCTTCAACTTAAGACCTGACAGTGTCTATCTAGACACAGAACTCCGCCCACTGCATTAAAGCAGGTGCTGAATTCTCAAACCCAGGTCATTTTACATTGGATCCACACACAGATTTATTTTAAAACTGACCCGAAGCGTTAAAACACTTGTTTACATGACACTTGATTAGCTGCCAGTCACCATGGGGAGTGTGTGCACATACATAGTGTTTTTAATTTTATAAAGTCTTTTTTTTTATAGTAACCTTCAATTTAAATGTAATATACAAAATTAAAAAAAATAATAAATTGACAATGAAAAGTCCTCAACAATTTGAGGGACAATTTGATGAATAAAACATATATTGCAAATATTTCCCTTGTTACACACTATCCCTTTCAAGATGTGAAAACTGGCATGTCAATTAATGTAATAATACAAGGGAATAAATCATATAATAATACAAGCAGTAAATGATGCCAGCGAAATGCAAGTATGTGGGTGATCTTGTAACAAATTTGTGTCTAGCCCAGTCAGCTCTTTATTACTGAACACTGCCATCCAGTGGAATGATGATTCAGTGATCTGAAGGGACTACACCAGGATTATTATTAGCATTGCATCTACTAAGGCCTTTAGCACATTAAATTTCAGTTGTGCAGTTTAAATGAGTTAATTAATGGATGCAGTGTTATTTTCTTAAAGGAAATTTGCATATACTAAATGCTTTAGTAAATCTGGCTCTTTGAATCCATCAGGTGTTTGGCCCTTCTTTTCCATAAAGTAGTTTTTCAAAATGTCTTGCATATAATTGGTTCCTACTAAAATATAGCAAACGCAACCCCATGACCTCAGGGGTGGAATAAGGGAGTGTCTGGCTCCAATACAGTCGCTATTTGAGATGTTCACATTTTACTTACAGCTAGGATTGTATTTAATGCGGAGGTATTTTCTATGCATGTCCCTGGTCTCATATATTCCAGTTACACTTCCATTCACTGAATAAAGTCAAACCTCTAGTCTTCCCCTCATGCAAGCTCTTTCTTGGCCGACTGTTGCTACACTTCTCCTCGAGTGCAAACTGGCCATCCTGGACGATCTCTTTCAGTAGTCCAAAAGAAAAGTTGAGAGGAAAAACAAAAGACATTAAGGATTTGAACAGTCTTTGGGTTCCCCTCACCGGGACTGGACGCCAAGGGTGATCTTTAGGTTCTCATACACCACATAGCTGATGCTAACAGCAGGAATGACCTTCATAAAGTTGGGTGCCAAGCCTCTATAGAGTCCAATAGCGCCCTCTGTCCGTACAATGTGTCTGAAGAGACCAGTCATGGTCATCTGTGGGCTGCCTTCCTGAGTAGCTGCTAACCAAAGAGCAAGAACAAAAAGCCTAAAATCAATTGGACTGTGACAGATAAACGATAATAGTTTACTTAGTGAATGAATTAGACATTCATAACTTCTAGCAGGAAGCCTTCTAATTATGTATTTGAGAGTTTAAAGACTTACCTTGAGCCTGCATTCGTGTCCTCACTAAGGCTAATGGGTAGCTTGCTAACTGTCCACAAGTACTAGACATTGTACCACAGGCTAGCAGCACAAACACACCCGGATCGGCACTGTCTGTAGCAAACCTCTGCAGCCACGAGTTTTTCAATGTCTACACATGAAAATAAGAGCGACATGAGAGTTACATTATAGTAATTATAATATAAAATAATGTAATTTAATATAATTATATTTACAATATAAATAAATCATAAAATACATAAAACATTCAGGAGGTAGAAAACTGAGGGGAAAAAAGATTATAAAAAGCATGTAGCACAGTATTATTTATAGTATTTTCTATATAATATTTTGAATGAGCTTTTTTATATTTTCAGTTTTAATTTTAGATTTAGTAATTTTGTTGTGCTTTTGTCAATTACTAGTTTTTGTTTTTATTTCTGTTATGCTTTAATTTATTTTCATTTCAGTTTTCAGATAAATTTAGCAATAACTAGTGCTGTCAAACGATTAATCGCATCCAAAATAAAAGTTTTTGTTTACATAATATATGTGTGTGTGCTGTGTATATTTATTATGTATATATAAATACAAACACCTGCATGTATATATTTAAGAAAAATGTTGTTTATATATCAAATATATAATATAAAATATAAGAATATAAATATATAAATGTATATACATGTA